AATACTTTTGAGGGTTGCTTACAAATAATCCGCTGCCTAGAGGGGTATTTTTGAGGATGCCTTCCCGTCTGAGGTCAAAGATCTCCTGGGCGTGCAGGGAAGGAGTGGGCGGGGGGTGGAGGCTTCGACGTTGGAGTAGGGTCGCAGACCGTGAGCAAGCTAGCCCGGTAGAGCAAGAGCCAGGCAACACCTGCTTACTAGCCCACGAGCAAGAAACAAGCATTCAGACGAGCCAGCAATCCTGTTCCTTCTCCACTTGCTCACGCAGTACGATCGGGTTCCGGGCATGAATGGAACTTCCGGCAGCTTGCTGATTTCTGGCGAGCCAGAGCAAAACGAGCTCCGGCCCCACGATAAAGGTTGCACCCACGGAAAGTCCAGGTCTTGCATGTATCACACCCTAGCAACCAACAAAGACTCTGGTAGTCCACTGTCGGTCTGGGGAGGAGAGGAACGCAGGGGCATCCCATGCTCGCCATAAAGCCATCCATGCCCTTGAGGGTAACAAGTAACATTTTCCTGGGCGCACATGAAGGCGACCAACTGATTGTGCAGACCTCTTTTCCTTTGTCTGAGGGGGGTTCCCTTTAACATTGTCCCATGACGGCTCGGGGTCTCGGAAAAACCACAGCACAGCTAAACGAAAAGGGTGTGCGCGCGGGTGGCAGGAACATCAAGGCCATCAAGAGCCAGAGCGGCGTCCTTAAGGTGGGCGTCCTGGACCGCAACGACCCCGCGAACGTGGAAATCGCACCTTGGCACGAAGTGACGCTCGTGGGCTCGCCTCGGGGGAGGCGGAGGGCATCTCGTTGCAAGTTGAGATAACGCACCCAGGGAACCATAGCTGTCCTTTTTGGTTGATTCGGTTGAAAAATAGAGGGCCCTGGTTTACGTGGTGGTTTAATCAACTACCAGCGCCATCTATTTTCCCAAAAAGGACACCTATGAAGGGAACCCTGGCAGTGCGCTTTTGGCGCGTTAGGTTTGCAGACTTCGTGGGTCAAGCTGGTCAGTTGCCAATCTCTGTCTGATGCATGGGAAACATCCTGACGCATGCAATGAGACCAAAACTGACTAGAGATATCCCAAGCAACTTGAGAAAGCAATAATCAAAGGAAACTCGAGAACCAAAAACAATACACATGCTTTGAGACTTCTTTGGACAACTGCTCATATTGAAAGAGTTCTGGAAACATGGTTTTTGTTTGTTTTGTTTCTTGGCATTCTTGAGTTTTTGGGTTTTCTCAATGCTTGTTCGTTGTTTCGGCTTTCTGTTTAATGACAACCAACACAATGGTGGTTTTCTCTTGTTTTGGTTTTCTCGAGTTGTTGTTTGGTCGTTGAGGTCTTCTGTTCAGAGGCAGGCAGATTGGAAGAATCCAGCAGCTCGCCTTCCTTAGAGTTTATTTACATTGTAACTGAATTCTACTTAAGGTCCTGCTTGGAAAGGCATTCCCATTTAAAGTCACATTCAACATAATATATTGTCCAATTCATTTCTAATAAACTAGAAGAAGCAACGAGCTTGTGTGTCCTTACCAGATTGTGTTTAAATTACAATTAACATCTAGTTAGAATCCTAGATACTCGGAACTTATTGTCCATTTAGAATCTGGTTCAAATCATATAGTTGAATTACGTGGGAGACACAACCAGCTTGTTTTTCCTTACTAGATCCTAGTTAAATTATAATTGAATTCTAGCCAAAATCCTAATTGGACAGCAATTCCTATCTAGACTTTGAAGGCATTCCTATTTAGAAGCTGTTTCACAGTTAGAATTCTAATAAAACCCTAATTTAAGTGGTATTTGGAAAGAAAATCTTGATTAACATTGTATTGAAAAGAAAAGGAGTCTTGAAGGCAAGCCAGTCTAACATCGTCAGTTCAACTCATGTCACTTGGGCCAGGACGGCGTTTCAAGGTCACACTTCTCTTCCGCAAGAACAAAGGGGTCTTTTGTCTCCAGGCCATTTGGTAGCGCACAAGAAGAACGCGCCTTTTTGAGGCCACCGGGGCTTTTTTGGTGCCGCCTCATTGGTCCAGTCCAGTGGACGGTCTGAGGTTGGAACCGCCCATGCAGTGGAGCATTGCCGATCTTTGGCCGACCGCCCAGATGCAAAATCTTGGGGGGGGGCATGAATACTTAATTTGTTAATTTCCTGAAGAGAAAGCCAACAGTGGATGGGTAGTTGATTTGTTGTTTTTCAATCCTGTTTAGCAGAAAAGTCAAGCAGGGAAGTGCTCGGATGCTCAACCTACTTGACAAGTGGGTGATTTCACCACGATTGTTTGAGTGACTTTGATAGTCTTTGCTGTCACATAAACCATGATGATAAAGCCACTTCGGTCGGCACGACTCACTTCCTAAGTTTCTGGGCTCTCTCTCTACATATATATATATATATTTCTTTTGGAGCATCATTTTAGCAGCACGGACTTGCCATGGGGCAGTCACATTCAGAAATGGAAGCGTCTGCCCCTTCCATCATTTATGTAGTTTGGGTAGACTCGATGAGTAACAGGGGTTGAGGACTCAGCTGAAGAGAAAAGCTGAACCAAGCTTATATCAACGCTTTGTTCATGCAGATGTAGCAAGATTCCGCAATCTGACAGGGGTTCGGTTCTGGTCGCCATCTTCACAAGTCTGTTTCTTTTTTGCAATTTCAGTGCGCGACATCTATTTGACCTCTGTGTTACCCCTTTTTCGCCCATTTTTGTCTTTTGTTTTTGGGTCCTTTGAGCAACTGAGTGACTCGTGGCCGGACACTTCAATTTCCTCTAATCTGCTTCCATGGTCACAGCTGTGTCAAAGTGTTGTGTGCGCCTCGGTGTGAGACAGAGGTACCTGTTTGGCATGGGCTTGTCGCAATATCGGAACTTGTTTGGGCGGTTCAAAAGGAAAACCCAAAGGACACCCAAATCCCGTCATGTGCAGAGAGTCGCTGTTTAGATAGTGATCCACATGTGGGGAAATATGAGCAACTAGCAAAACTCATGAGAACCCGGTTACAATAACTCCGTGGTGCTGGGGCCGCTGGGGAGAAACAGCCGCTGAGTTGATCCTTCACCTTGGCCAACATCCCGAAAGGTCAACCAGCAGGTTCAATCCGTGGTTGACATTCCCGTTTTGGCAAACAAGATAGCAATGCCACAAGTTGCTGGTTGCGACGTTGCTCCTGATGAAAGCCTCTTTCAGGGATTCCTCACTTTCCGTTAGTGAATTATAGCAATCTGTCCAGTGCCCAGCAATTGCTTCTGATCCAAGGTGCATCTGGGAGAACGAGAAGAGTAAGCCCAATCTCTCGTGTTTTCCCACCAAACGAGGGCAAGGTACCCTCAATGAACCTTCAAGAAGGAAGTATGAGCCCGTCGCTCATACCGTAGTTTCAACAGTTACTGCATGTGAAAGATTGTGCCAGCATGTGGTGAACAGAGGGAAACGAGAAGGAACCGTATGCACTTGAGAGAAATCCCACCTAGGCGGGCAGGGGGTTTGGGGCAGCTTCGAGGTGAACTCCGTGGTGGAGGGGGACTTGTCGGCCATTGGCAACGTCTCCGAGATGCTGGAGCCGTTCCAGAAACAGCGTTTACGACACCGGGTACCAGTGATATATACATATATGTATACATTTGTCTCTCTCTCTCTCACACACTCGCTCTCTCTCTCTCTCTCTCTCTTTCTCTCTCTCTCTCTCTCTCTCGCTGTTCTTGAGGGTAACCCTTTTGGGGTGACACCAAAGGGAGCACCATCATGTGGGGGGAGTATTTTGACACATACCCATATTCCAACAATATGATTTGACTCTAGTCCTTCATTAAGACACACAAGAAGAACGCGGGTTGTCAGGATGTTCCACCCGGGACCCACTCAACATTGGGTCCCGGCAGAAGAGGGGCGCCCAATGCCTGAAACACCAAAAGCTGCGGGAGCCTTTTGGCGGAACTCGTTTGGGGGTCCAGTGAATCTTTCCGTGTTTCTTGGGCTGCTTGAATATAAGTTCGCTGGAACGCCTACTTCAGGGATCCGGTGAGTAGATCAGGCTCTCGCAGCTCGCAGTGATCTTGCTTTGTTTTGGCAGCTGGTAGCTCCTTTAACCGCTTCTGAAGATTGTGGGTTAATCTAGGCTCCCACCAACTTACTAACTTATCGAATCAAACACCCAAGTACCACCTGGGGAGCATTCCGCACATTTTTATACAAACGCTTTTCCCGTTGTTCCGGCCTGGTCGACGCCTCGATTACTTTTGGTGTGGTGGGGTGGGGCGGGTGGGGAATAACGTGCGGAGCACAATTTGCTCGAATGCGTGCAGGTTTTTGGGCACCTTCCCTTTGTATCACACAGGCAAATGGACTTATATATGCCCTAGCGTGCGTCATCGAATCTTGCTAATTACGACTGGCCCGCCGAAGGCTCCAAGACTACGACATACACTTCAGTTCTGTGAGCCATAGTTCGCTGCAGTTTGCCAAGAATGTTCGATTCAACAGTTGGAAAGGCGTGCAGAGGTGGCTGCCACCTTGGGTCATGCTAAGAAGAAAGGCGGGCTGAATCCCGAGCTGTGGCGATACTTGCGTAACACTTTCGTAATTGCCAATGGCGGCGCAGCACGGGTGATTTGCCAATGCCGCAGTTACTTCATGCTCAGGAATGCTGATTGGCCGTTTGCCAGGGTTGTGAACTCCTCCGCGCCGTTAAGTTAATGACGGCGTGACCTTGTTTTTGGTCGAAGGGGGGCAGTGGCAAGGTCGGGATGGCACGCTGCCCAACCCAAAGACGCCAGCTTGCGCCTGACCAAACCGGGCATTAAGCTGGGGTTTGGAAAAAACGGGCCTATCCCCCTTTTGGTTGCCTTCACTGTTGGCATCTTTCTTTGCAGGTGGCTGCGGAAAAGTGAGTTGTTGCTACGATACCAAGGGTTGGGAAAGCTTTCCTTTGGATCAAGCTGAACAGTAAGAAACAATTTAGCACCATGAGTGTCCCCACGATTCCACCCTGCGACGCTGCCACAAGCGTACAAACAACTCCTTGCCCGAGTTTTGCGTGGTTTGGTTTCGGTGGGCTGTCCCCAGATCCCGTGCTGAAAGTTTAAGTTTTAGCGGGTCAAATGGGACAGCCCACTAAGCCAACTAAAAACAGCTAGAAGCCTTTGGAACCGGACGAGTCGCTGGGATGAGTGGGAAATAAACGGTTTGGTTACTTGTTTTGGCCCATCCACTCGATCGGAAGTGAGTTTTAGGCTGCAACCATCCGAAACCGTCCGTATTTCCAAGCCACATTTGAATTGGAGCTTCTTCTTTCTTCGGGGGCATTCACCTTGCATGCAGCTTGTCAATCCGTCCGGTTGTAGCTGCTTAGATCGTAGTTGGTTTAGTGGTTGGGTTTCCATTTGGCTGTCGCTCAAATAAGTGGCAAACATTTTTGGGTCCCTTGGAGACAAAGACAAAAAACCTGCGTAACTCCAGCTCTTAAATTTTGAGCCACACCCATTTGTGACCCAAAGGTGATTCCCTCGCCGGGGATCTGAAACGGACAGCTAAAGTCTTTCAACAGCCCACACGACCAGGAACCCGAGGTGTTTCTAAGCTGAGAATTCGATCCATGTGGTTCAAAAAAAGTGCCCCAAACGGCAGCCTGTCAATGGAGTCATGGACTAACATTTACGCGATTTTTTTTCCATTTTGACCCGTGGCTCAGGTGAAATTCATCAAATGGTGGTTGATACCCATTTCTAAATCGATTATTGTCGCTATTCCCAGTACAAAAAATCTGTTAGTATAATTCCTATGTTGTATTGGTAACCATTCGCGTGACAACGGGCCCATTTTTGTAGAGAGAACCCCATCCCGAGGCTTCGGCCCGCGGTTTGAGTAACCGAGCCCCAGAAAAAGGGCAACCCAGCTATGTCCTTTTGGTGCTTTTTGCTCGGGCAACCGGGGACCTAAACCGGCAAATTCCAGTTGACCATATTTAGTCGTCAAACGGTTTGGTCTCTATTTTTCTTTTGCTTTTGGTCACAAAAGGTGATCTTCAGGTCCATTCATTTGGGCAAGTGAGGTCGTGTTCTCTTTTTTCTCGCTCGCAAACAGTTGCCAACTTGCACTTTGGGAGAAGATGCCAGTTCTTGTTTTTGTTTGGTGGGTTCCCCAGAAAAATGATCGACCTACTCTCAGAGTATCGTTTTTTGAGTCGACAACGACAGTTTCGAGATTGAGTGTTTGAAATTGTTTACTTGCAATAGTTTGGGCAATCCACCTCCAATTTCGGGAGAAATGTGTGGGGGTCTGCGTTTTTTGAGACACAACCCTGCCCTCCGCCTCGATGCAGGACATTGAGCCGCGGCTGATCTCGCGGCTTATTGGCCCCAAAGGCGGCGACCAGGGACTCGGGACTCGCCACTCGCTGCCTGAAAGACGAGCCACTTTTTTGTTTTTGTTTTTTGCCTCACAAAGTGAAGGGTTACCTCTTTTTTGCTTTTGTCGGGGAGCCCCACAAAGTGAAGGTTTTTTTTTTGGGGTGGAGCCCACAAAGTGAAGGGATATTGTTTTTTCGGGGAGCCCCACAAGGTGAAGGGTTACTTCTTTTTTGTTTTTTTTTCGGGGAACCCCACAAAGTGAAGGGAGCCCCACAAAGTGAAGGGATACGTTTTTTTTTGCCCCACAAAGTGAAGGGTTATTTTTTTTTATTTTTTTTTCGGGGAGCCCCACAAAGTGAAGGGTTACTCTTTGTTTTTCTCTTTTTGTTTTTCTCGGGGAGCCGGGAGCCCCACAAAGTGAAGGGATACTTTTTTGTTTGTGTTTTTTTCCGGGGAGCCCCACAAAGTGAAGGGTTGATTTTTTGCTTTTTCGGGGAGCCCCACAAAGTGAAGGGTTACTTTTTGTTGTTTTCGGGGAGCCCCACAAAGTGAAGGGTTACTTGTTTGCTTTTTCGGGGAGCCCGACAAAGTGAAGGGTTACTTTTTTTGTCGCCCCACAAAGTGAAGGGTTATTGTTTGTTTGGGGAGCCCCACAAAGTGAAGGGTTACTTTTTTTGTTTTCGGGGAGCCCCACAAAGTGAAGGGTTACGTTTTTTTCAATTTTTTTTAGGGGAGCCCCACAAAGTGAAGGTTTTTGTTTTTTTTGTTTTCGGGGAACCCCACAAAGTGAAGGGATACGGTTTTGTCTTTTTTTTTTTCGGGGAGCCCCACAAAGTGAAAGGTTACTTTTTTTGTTTTGTTTTCGGGGAGCCCCACAAAGTGAAGGGTTACTTTGTTTTTCCATTTTTTTGCGGGGAGCCCCACAAAGTGAAGGGTTACTTTTTTTCCGGGGAGCCCCACAAAGTGAAGGGCTACTTTTTGTTTTTCTCTTTTTTATATCTTTTTTTTCGGGGAACCCCACAAAGTGACGGGATACGTTTTTGTCTCTTTGTTCTTTCCGGAGAGCCCCACAAAGCGATTTTTTTTCGGGGAGCCCGACAAAGTGAAAGATTACTTTTGTTTGTTTTGTTTTCGGGGAGCCCCACAAAGTGAAGGGTTACTTTTTTCCATTCTTTTGCGGGAAGCCCCACAAAGTAAAGTGTTACTTTTTTTTCTTTTTTTTTTTTCGGGGATCCCCACAAAGTGAAGGGTTACTTATTTGGTCTTTTTCTTTTTTTCAGAGAGCCCCACAAAGTGAAGGTCTACTTTTTTATTTTTTGGGGGAGCCCCACAAAGTGAAGGGTTATCTTGTTTTTTCTCGGGGAGCCCACAAAGTGAAGGGTTACTTTTGTTGTCTTTTTTTTCGGGGGGGGGGGAGCCCCTCAAAGTAAGTTTTTTCTTTTCTCTCGGGGAGCCCCACAAAGTGAAGGGTTACTTCTTCTTTTTTTGTTCCCGGGGAGCCCCACAAAGTGAAGGTTTTCTTTTTTCCATTTTTTTGCGAGGAGCCCCACAAAGTGAAGGGTTACTTGTTTGCTTTTTCGGGGAGCCCGACAAAGTGAAGGGTTACTTTTTTTGTCGCCCCACAAAGTGAAGGGTTGTTGTTTGTTTGGGGAGCCCCACAAGGTGAAGGGTTACTTTTTTTTGTTTTCGGGGAGCCCCACAAAGTGAAGGGTTACGTTTTTTTCAATTTTTTTTAGGGGAGCCCCACAAAGTGAAGGGTTACTTTTTGTTCCCCATTTTTTCTCGGGGATCCCCACAAAGTGAAGGGTTACTTTTGTTGTCTTTTTCTTTTTTTTCAGAGAGCCCCACAAAGTGAAGGTCTACTTTTCTATTTTTTGGGGGAGCCCCACAAAGTGAAGGGTTATCTTGTTTTTTCTCGGGGAGCCCACAAAGTGAAGGGTTACTTTTGTTGTCTTTTTTTTCGGGGGGGGAGCCCCTCAAAGTAAGGTTTTGTTTTTTCTCGGGGAGCCCCACAAAGTGAAGGGTTACTTCTTCTCTCTTTTTTTTGGAGCCCCACAAAGTGAAGTTGTTGTTTTTCCCGGGGAGCCCCACAAAGTGAAGGGTTACTTCTTCTTTTGTTTTTTCGGGGAGCCCCACAAAGTGAAGGGTTACTTCTTCTTCTGTTTTTTCGGGGAGCCCCACAAAGTGAAGGGTTAGTTGAAGTGTTTCCACAGGACGGCAACAGGTGAGGCCCCCTATTTTGCATACAGTTGGTAACAGTTGAGGCTCTCTACTTGGTTAGGTTTGCAGGGACCAATATGAGCAGTCCATTTGTTCTGTCATGTGCTGTAGAGAGAATGACATGGCACACTCACTAAATTGTCAACAGAACATAGGGGTTATACACGGAGGCCATTGTTTTTTAATGGTTGTTTTTGTTCTTCTTCAGGGTGGGTGACTTTCGGCTTTTTGGCTTTTGTGGCTTTTACGTGGGTTTTTTGTGGCTTTTGTGGCTTTTCATTTCGCATCCTCTGCATTCACACTTCCTCTCTGTTTGTCTTTGTGGGTTCATTCGGCTTTTGCGGCTTTGGCTTTTCGCATCCTCTGCATTGCCAGTTTCGCTGCGTCTGGTGGCTTTTTGGCTTTGTGGCTTTTGTCGGCTTTCTGGCTTTGGCTTTTCGCATCCTCTGCTTTCCCAGTTTGTTTTTGGCCTTGGCTTCCTGCATCCTCAGCATCGCCAGTTCCGCTCTGGCCCCCCCGCCCCTTGCGATTAAAATGCACGATCATTATGCGACAGCTACTTTTTAGATTCTTTCCCCCAAATTGAATCATCACTTTTTTGATCATCATGGGGGGGCTGCCGCCCCTCACTTTCTAATTGAATCATCACTTTTTCAATGATGATGGGCTGCCGCCCCTCCCCAACCCGCTTTTTCGACTTTTGGCCCTAATTGAATCATCACTTTTTCGATCATCAGGGGGGGGGCTGCCGCCCCCACCCCAACCCCCGCTCCTTTAATTGAATCATCACTTTTTCAATCATCATGGGGGGGGGCTGCCGCGGTTCTCCGTTCGACTTTTGGTTCTAATATGAAATGTTACCAAGGTGTACATGAGGCATGGTGAATATTGACCGTGTCCCCAACAATCAACTTTGTTTCGGTGAGTATATAACGGGTCGAGAGTTTATTTAGGTTTTGTTTTGTTTTATTTTGGGCTTTTTGTTTTCCGTCCTGGCTAGTAAATTATGTATTTTACAGCATTTTCTCACGAAATGTACGTATTTTACGTCAACATCATCAGCATCGTTTTCAACATCCCCCGCATGTCCAGCCAGGCTTCCTATATCTTCAGCATCAATAGTTCCTCTCCGGCAAGGTAGGTAGGAATTTATGCATGCATGTTAAAAAGAGGGGCGGGTCCCCCTCATGATGGTAAAAGTGAGGATTCAAATACGGACCGGAGGTGCGGTGTCAAAGGCAAACTCCCCACTTCAGCAGCGCCCACAACCTGTTGACTTTTGACTCTAGCGACATGATTATAAGCTTGTAAAGCCTTACGATAGCCCCAATTGCACCACCACCTAAATTGGCCAATGGGGATGTTGGGCGGTGACCAATTGTTTCTCCATAAGGGTCTGTGTCTCTGTGTGTGACGCGCACGGGTTTGTTTGTGTGTGTGTGTGTCACCTTGTGTGTGCATATTGCTTTGTGTGTTTTGCATGGCTAGATTGATCTTTGAGCGAGGGGTTGGCTTAATTTCCGCAGATTTGGCCATGAGTCCCCCAGGCTGTTCACGCGCATGACGAGCTCGGGCTCAACACCCCATGGACCTCCATAGGTTCTTATATGACTGTGTATTCACATACAGGTTTAGTGTCTTTATGTTTTACCTGGGGCAGAACAAAGACTCAAGTGCAAGCGTGCCTGTAGCAAAGTGGGGCCAACCCCACTGTTTCAGCAATTTTAATCACCTTTTGTTGAAACAACCCTTCCTTTGTTTCCATTTAATTAACACATTGGCCGAATCGGATCTGGTTGTTTTTCCATTTCGCACCTCGGGCTCCGCTGAACGCCTTGGTTTTCCCATCAACCGTCAGGCCAGAACATCTCCAGCATGAAGGACCAAAGCGGCGCGTACCTGGCAGTCGGGGACTCGGGCTGGGACGCAGGTCGCCGAAAGATTTAAAACAACTGGAGAATCCGTTTCGCCGAAGATCCTAGAATCTGTTTTATTTGTTTGTTGCAGGAATATGATGATGTAGGAACAACAACTCGGAGGTAAATGCGATTCGCCGATAGAATCGTAGCCTCTCGCAAACTGAACGGCCCGGAACAACGGAACCGCGCCTTCGAGGTCAAGGAGCCTGCGCCCGGTAGCGGCAACAAGGCCTGGGCGCATCTCGGGAGCTGAGCCGGGCGCATCTTGCCCGGCGATGCTCAAACGGGTAGCCTCGCCATGTTCCGAGGGGCTTTTCAGATGAGGGCGTTTGGGTGACCTTCCCGCGGCCTTTCCCTTTCAATTGTCAAGCAGCACACGTTGCCAGGCTGAACTTGTCTGGTTTGCCCTTTTGCCCTTTTGGTTTTCATGAATCCGTCCTTTAAGCCGACCATGGGGATGCGGAAAAGCAACAAGTTAGCTTTTGCAACGGGTCTGTATTTGGCCCAGCACCTTGGAACGGCTTATGTTTGGTATCAGACCTTGAATGTATTCAAGAGGGATTCTGCGAGTGCCCAATTGAAATCCAGGCAAACCCCCCCCCCCCCAAATGTACGACAATTGTTTCGACAGTTGTTTTGACAAAACCTGAGGCTCAAACAATTGTTGCGACAATTGTTTTGCAACAATTGTTTTGCAAAGCCTTATCTTCAACACATGTGTTGCAACAACTTTTTTACGCAACCTTGATTCCCAAGCAAGTGGTTGCAACAACAACTTTGGTGCAGGGCCAGCAAAACAATTGTTGCAACAAATGTTTGTCCACCACTGGGCGCATAAAGCAACTGCGGCAACAGTTTCTGCAGCAGGTGGCGGGAAACATTCTGGATCGGAAAAAAACACAAACATACCGAACATGATACACCATGCCAGTTTACCTGTCTAGAAGTAAGCACGTCGGCGCATCTATTTGTGACGGCTAGGTTGCTTTATGCTTTACTTTTGTGGCGGCTTTATGGTTTATGGCAGATTCGGCTTGGCGGCTCAGACTCATAGTCGTGCCCATGGAGGGCAAACCCCCTCCCACCGCGCACCAGTGACTTGGGCGACCATGCCCTCTTTGATTGACATGGCCTGCGTTGCCGCAGCATTCGCCGAAGCCCCAGCGGCCCCGCAGGCTGGAACAGTCAGGCCCCGGCATGGCCGATGGGGAAAGCGCATGTGTCGCAATGCTCAGCTGCGGCGACGCTTGGAGACTTCAGGCCAACGCCAGCGGGCGGCTGCCTGCCACGCCTCTTGGCAGGGAGGCTGGAAGAAGTGGACGCCTGAGGCGCTGCCAAGGTCGGCCTTTGAAAACGCGCTTTGACGAGCAAGCGCATGCTGCCACTGAGGCTGGCTGGGGCCCATTGTTCCACATCCCGAACATCATGTTTGACAAGACAGAGCAAGACGCCGCCTCGCGCGGTCCAGGACGTGGTCCATTTTAGCATGTCGAGCGCAGATCAGCGTCCACTCAGCATGCCAGGCCCGACATCATCCGTCGGCCTTCGAAACAAAACTGCGCCGCGCATGTTTGGCGCTCTTTGTCAGAACCTGCCTGTGGCCAAGCGAGTTTGCGCGGGGAAGCAAAGGCGCCTTCGAATCGCGCGACGGTGCTTCTTTGATTGTGGGCCAGCTGTGGCGAAAGCTGGTCTTCCTGGCGGTGTCAAGTTCTGGGAAGCCAGCCCATGTTGCTCGGATGGGCTGCTGCGTGGCTGCCCTGCAAAATGCTGTGCTTTGTGCCAATCTCCACCTATGTAGGGCCCAAGTCACCCTGGCAGTCCTTAGCCGCCAAACATCTTTGCCCGCCACGTCCGACTGTGCGGATAAAGGCCAGCCACGCGAAGGAAGCTGGCAAGGAACTTAGGAGGCTCGAGGCGATTTGCTCTTCCACGAAGAACAAAGGGCTCAATGGCTGGCGCTTGTTCAGCAGAATGCTAGCCAGGCAAGGAGCTGGTGCGAACAAGG